TATATATATATATATACAGAATATAATAAATAAAAGCAGAGTCCATATATGAAAGAAATTCTCAAATATTTATTTAAAAGATATTTATTAAATTTGATTATTGTCTAACGAAAATATGCTGTAACAGTGCAATGACGATTGAATTTATGATTGATTCGTGTTTAATAGCTTAATAAAATAAACATTCACATTTAATGTGTGTGAATAAATCCACAAATTACTTCTGGAAAAATATTTAAACAAATTTATATTATTTATCAAAATTTATTTTTGTCTTGTCATCAATTAATTCTGATTCAGAAATTATAATACGTGGACAAAAAGTGCTGTATTTATAAAACAATTACTAGCCATATGTATCATTAATCACATTATTATTATATAATTTTGCATACATAACTTTATTATATACAAGTACATTATGTATACGGTCATAACAGATAAAAAAAATTATGTAATATTAGAAACATTATTTAAGTATTATAAATTTAATCATTTCAAATCATGATTTGATTTTTAACATATTAAATTTCTAAAATTGTATGTACATACAATATATGACGTAAGTAAACAAACGAGGAATTATTAACTTGTTTTGTAAATTTTCATTTAGAAACAAGTATAAATAAAGATGTTTTTTATTTTATGCAAAGATTGAACGTATTTTTTTTTATTATTACACAAATGTATAACTCATCTATTGCAATTAAGTAATAAACAGACATGTCATCAGCGTGCAAGGCAAACATTTTTGCTCCCAACATAATTGTCAGAATCGTTTTCATCCTTCAAATCTGGTACTTTTTTATTAGCACATGTAATTTACACATAAAATATTAAATTTATTTGATGATCCATATTGTAATTATTTAAAATATTTTAATCTTAAAACAATTACGACATTCTAATTTAATATAATTTTAAAATTAACTTTTAGTTTAATTTAATTTTAACACAACTTTTAACTCATTTTTAAGTAATTTTTTTGTTCATGTAACTTTTAACTAAAGTAATTTTATAAGTCATTAATTTTAACTTAATTTAATTAAAAAACAATATTAACTTACCCAACTCTGATGTATATACATGTTCGTATGCGTGGATCTCTTATTTTGTTACTGTGTACCAACATAGTGCAAATAGCATGTCATGACAGGATATATATCTATGTGTAAGATGGACGAGACGAATGACGAAGAACGATTTTTTTTACATCTTTAAGTTTTTATCCCCCTTTCACTTAAATTAGAACTTTAGATTCCATTCCTCTATTTCTAGATTCATGCTATTTTTTGACTATTTTTGACTCCTTTATTATATCTTATAAAAGTTCCGTCCATATATTCTTACATCTATGATTAAACATGATAGGAACGTATATGCGCGGGTATACAGACGAATTATGAATAATCATAATAGTATAGTATAAGCAAGGCATTTACTATTCCTATATATCCCTACTTTTTCACTTATTAACATAATGGAACGGTCATATGATATGGATATAGAAATCAAAGATACTGATAAAATATTCATACCATGGACTTAAGAATAGAAAAACGGAGTTTAAAATTCTAATTTAGGTGAGAGGAGATAAAAACTCACAAATGCGAGGAAAATTTTGCTTGCATATTTGTTCGATTCATCTGATATATAGATATATGTCTGTATCATGTACCTATGCTGTGTTGGTAACACAATACATAAAGTAAAAAGTTCATACATATGAACACATATACATATATGTCCCTTATGATTCTATGTATGCGACATAGATGAATATAGCAGACCTCTCCCCCTCCCTCCCTCCAGCAACGTGTCTCTCTTCTCTAGCTTATACTCTGTCCCTCTATTCCTAAGTCCATGATCCATACTAGTTATGCTGTGCTATAGTTTTAAGTTTCTATATATGTTTTTCATATTAAACCTATTTTTTTTTAACAAATTTCTAATATCGTTTATTATTTCTCTTTTTTTGTCTAACATGGAAAATGAATCATGCAAGAATTCAATTTAAAAAAATGGGTCTATTGATCCTTTTAGTATATATATATATATATATATATATATATATATATATATATATATAACTA